TGGATAGGTACAATTATTATTGTCACTTTTAGCTGAGAAAGCTACGACACAGAGACCTTAAATACCAAAACCAAAGTTTAAAAACTAGCAAATGACATGTCAAAATTTATGGCCAGGCGCGGTGGCTCATGCCTGTAATCCTAGCACTATGGGAGGCTGAGGCAGGCCAGCCTGAGCAAGAGCGAGACCCCCATCTCTACTAAAAATAGAAAGAAATTAATCAACTAACTAATAATATATATAGAAAAAATTAGCCAGGCACGGTGGCACATGCCTGTAGTCCCAGCTACTCGGGAGACTGAGGCAGGAGGATCGCTTGAGGCCAGGAGTTTGAGGTTGCTGTGAGCTAGGCTGACGCCACGGCACTCACTCTAGCCTGGGCAATAAAGGGAGACCCTGTCTCAAAAAAAAAAAAAAAAAAAAAAATTTAAATTTATGCACTTGATATAATTTGCTAGGGCTGTCATTCACAAAATACTACAGACTGGGTGGCTTAAACAACAAAATTTATTTTCTCACGGTCCTAGAGGCTGGAAGTTCAAGATCAAGGTGTCACAGCAGGTTTGGTTTCTCTGAGGCCTCTCTCCTTGGCTTGCAGATGTCTGCCTCATCCTATACCCTCACGTGGCCTTTCCCGCGCCAACGTGTACCTAGTGTCTCTCTTTCTTTTTATAAGGACACCAGTGATGTTGGATTAGGGCCCTACCCTAAAAGCCCCATTTGAACTTAACCTTCTCTTTAAAAACCTCATCTCCAGGCCGGGCGCAGTGGCTCACGCCTGTAATCCTAGCTCTCTGGGAGGCCGAGGCGGGCGGATTGCTCGAGGTCAGGAGTTCAAAACCAGCCTGAGCAAGAGCGAGACCCCGTCTCTACTATAAATAGAAAGAAATTCATTGGCCAACTAATATATACAAAAAAAATTAGCCAGGCATGGTGGCGAATGCCTGTAGTCCCAGCTACTTGGGAGGCTGAGGCAGGATTGCTTGAGCCAGGAGTTTGAGGTTGCTGTGAGCTAGGCTGACGCCACGGCACTCACTCTAGCCTGGGCAACAAAGCGAGACTCTTTCTCAAAAAAACAAACAAACAAAACAAAACCTCATCTCCAAATATCGTTGCCTTTTGAGTTACCAGGGATTGGGACTTCAACACGTGCATTTATGGTGGACACAATTCAGCCCATGACACTTGGTGTAACTAACCGCAAGAAAGTTACTAGATCTTTCTAGGCCTCAGTTTCTCCAACTGTAAAACAGTGCTATGGAGGAGCCAAGGAGAGAATTCATGCAAAATACACAGCACAGCGTATGCAACAGAGCACTTTGTAGATGCAAAAAACAAAAAACAGAGACAGTGACTTGCCTTTTTTCCTTCTCTAAAGCAGAGAGCTCACACTACAGAACACACCTGCCTGTAAAATCGATTGTATAATCTGGGACAATTTTACATAATTTAGAATTTTTCACACACACAGTTCTTTTCAAATTTTATTAAACACAAGGAAGTAAGAGGAGCAGCTCATATTTATGATCTGATTAATGAAAACTGAGTTGGGAAGACAATAGTACATTCTTGGGACTGTATGTGCATTTAATTCATCCTGTCTCCTAAACTGCATAGACAACTGGCTATACTCACACAAATACTCGTCTCAGAAGATTAATACACGCTTTAACTATTAGAAAAGAAAGATAACCCAATGTTTTAAAAATAAAAATCGGGATTGTACTTAACACTTGCCTAGTGGTCTACATATATTAAACCTATTTAATCCACAACACAATCCTGTAATATTATTTTATTTAGCTCTTATAACAATCATGTAAAGAAAGTATTATTGCTATATTATAACCAAGGGAACAAGAGCATAGAAAAGTTAGATGTTTTTTTCTTAATGGTCACTAAGCTTGTCCATAATAGGCAGAACAAGAATTCTCGATGACACCTTCAGTCTGAAGCCAAGGCCACCAAAGGCCACCACCTACCCTGGCAAGCTGCAACACCTGGTTTTTTTCTCATTCTTTACACCTGGCACAAACAGAGTGGGTGCTCAGCAAACACGGCAGTCTGATCTGGAGGCAATCTAGACTGAGTTGAAAAATCTCTTTTATGCCCTTTATGTGGGGCCAAGTTTTTCCACCAACTTTGACCACCACCAAGTCCTTGGGCTGACAGCTCTTGGAAGGGCGACAATCACACAGGGTGCTCGTTTAAGTTCACCAAGTTCAGGTATTTATGGAGAATTGAGGGTTCAAGTAAATGTTTGCTGTGTAATCAAATCATAGAACATTCTTCCTTTAGTGATAGCAGTGAGAACTTTTCTGCCATGACCACATAAAAACATTAACAAGAAGCAGCATTGATTAAAATCTCTCTGTCTGTGTCTCATGGTCTACAACAGAGAAGTCTTTAGGGCCTTATCAATCCTCCAAATTCTATGATTCCATCGTAGTCCTCGCCTTCCGAGTGGTTAAAATGACCACTTTGAGTACCAACTATGGGTACCACGCAGCAACTGGATTTGCCAGTGTAGACCCACCACAGTATTCTCAGTCTGCAGTGTGCTTCCAGGAAAGCACTGATTCTGTGTATGTGACAGGCACGTTCCCAGAGGGAATAATACTGCATGATACGGGGGATCTGAATCACAGTGGTCCTGCTTTCATCAGGGTGGGCCCCTGTATCGTAAAAAAGGAGCTATATTAAGAGAAATCACGCTAACTATTATTTTCAAGAATATACTGCTATCTGCTTGGATTTTTTTTTAAAAATTATTTATTTATTTTTTTAAGAGACAGGATCTCACTCTGTCACCCAGACTGAAGTACAGTATTGTGATCATAGCCTACTGTAATAACCTGGAACTCCTGGGCTCAAGCAATCCTCCTGCCTCAGCCGTTAAAGTAGCTAGGACTACAAGGCACATAACAACATGCCGGCTAATTTTATCTTTAGTGTAGAGATGGGGTTTCAATATGTTGCCCAGGCTGGTCTTGAACTCCTGGCTTTAAGCAATCCTTCCAATTTAATCTCCCAAAATGCTAGGATGCCAGGCATGAGCCACCACCATGCTCCACCAATTTTTTTTTTTTTTTCTTTTAGCTTCAAGTTTGTTTTGCTATAAGCACCCAGGCAAGTTTTGACTCTGTCATGGAAACTATCTGGCCATTTCTGAGCTGTTTGTTCTGTATGCAAGCAAGGGAGATGAGCAGAGCTCTAAGATCTACTTCTACGCCGTCCTATAACTTCAGGGACTTGTGAATGCCAAGTTTGTTCACCTCTGTTGCTTGTGTCCATCATGTCGTCAACTGCCTGTCACCTCCCTGGCTACTTACTTCACAGAGCTGTTGTAAAAGGCTCGGAAAAAGTTCTGTGGTCCTAAAAAGCAAAGCATTTGGCAAAAGAACTTACAGGATCAAGCGTCACTAGCATTATACTTCCTGCCTGAATTAATCATTTCAAAGGACTCTGAGGTCTGAGGTTGACAAATTGACTAAAAACGCAGGCTCATTCTAGGTTATCTTTTGAAAATCAGGCATCCTAAAAGTACTCTCTTCTGATGTCCTGACAGAGAGAAGAAATTTCAGAAAGAAATAAAGAGGCATACAAATGCTTCTATAATCCTACAAAGAGCCAGATTCAAGTACCAATTTTTCCACTCACAGTAACAAATATTTGTTAAATAGATACAGAGCACTAAGCTAGATGCTATAGGGACAAACAACCGTGTAAGGCATGTCCCTATATTCTCCTGTACTACAACCACACGACAAAGGCACAACTTTTGTTTAGATTTCCTTCACAGATAAACAAAGGATTCAAGTTTCCCTAGAAAAATGGAACATAGAAGAACAAAATAATTTCTTTCTGGCTTCATAGAAAAATTTAATTTAGAACATGCTGGGGGAGAAACTCTTATCTATTAGTTTCCACTGACAAGGCCTTTCTCAAGAGTGACTGAGCTACACAATGACTGACTTCCATGACAACCTGATTAAATCTGACATGCACATGACATGGGAGGGGACAAGGAACCCACGTGTCCTTCAGTCTCAAAAAGAACAGTTGAAATGTACTGTCAGGGAAAGCAGGAAGAAGATCACAATCATGTGGCTTGCAAAGAAGATCAAAAACGATAGGACAGAATTATTCCAAATAACTGCAAGTCACTAGGACTTCCGTAAGTGCCCTGCCATATAAAATCACGTGTGGCTCCCTAATGACAGGAAAAGTTAAGGCCTGTCTCATGCCTCACTTCTGCCACTGACTGAGCTTGAGAAGGGAAATCAAGACAACCTTTTAAAGTTAATCAATGAAAGGCAGAAATTATAGCCCGGACAGTTAACAGATTATCAGCTCATTCACGTTGGGTAAAAGATTTGTTGAGCAATTAGTCAGTGTCTTTACCCAATTAATTTAAAGCAGGAAGCCCCCAAATTCCTTTAAAGTATTACTGGTATTAGCTGTTTAGACTGATTGTCTCAATATATATGGTTTTTTTTTTTTTTATGTGTTTACCTTTTCCCTTAGAGTTATAGCCAAACTCTTCTCAAAAATAGAACCAAGTTCCTAAAGTCTACTTCTTTCTCTTTTAATACACTATTTTTTCGAAAGCCATACAACTAGTATCGTTCAACAAATGGAGTAAAGTGAGTGCTAATAACTAGTACTTTTTTGTTCAAGAACAGGGGCATAAAGAAAGGTTTACACCCCAAGGTATAGAGAGGCACACGATGGTCAGTATCACATTAAGGAAATCTACAGCACATTGAATAAAACTCTGAAGTTATGGTTCTGCTCAAGCTGAACCATCTTTTGAGACAGCCAATTACCAACAAGACTGCTGTATTCAGAGTTCAGACAGCAAGAATACGCAACTTCTTCCCAGAAATGGAAAATAAGAGTCAACCAAGCTCTGTGTCCCACGGTATGATCTCATATGCAACACATGAACACAATTCCTGTTATTTATTTTTTTCAAAATGAAAAGTAGATCAACTTACATGGCTCTCTGGCAATGAACTGAGGTACAGTGTTGGGCAGAGGAGTACTGGGGTTTGGAGTCCCTACTAGTTTGTTCTTGGCCATCTTCGTGTTTGCCTTAGCAAACTCTAGTCGTAGTGTTTGCGGAATTTCAGGATCGAAGCGGATGCCCTTTGGAAACAAAGAACAAATGGAAGATGTTTTCATTTCCTTAGAGTCAAACCGGAATGGTGACAAAATAAACACACCAGTAAACCCTGGCCTAGCAGGAAGAAAGGTCACCAAGAGCTCTGGTTCTCACTACTTAACACGGAATATACAAAAACCCACAACACCACGTGTTCAGCAAGTCAGGGGGGATTTAGTTTACTTAATTTAAAAATTCAGTTACACGAATTTTCAATGATCCTTTTCGTTCTTGCACAAAAACTTTCTAGTCCAAGTTTTAAAATTCGAACCAGCACATGCCTAGCACAGGTAAAAACTGTGAGATTAATGATTATCAGTGAGAATGAGAGAATATAAAGACCTGTGCAATACTGGAATCTGACACCTAAAATCTTAAGAAGCTGGACTCTGATTTAGAAGAACATAATTCTTCGATGCTTTTATTTATTTTTTTCATCTGTTTCCAGAACGAAGGACGTCAATGCTTTTAGTTTCATTATCTATAAATGGAGAAAAAGATTCGCATCTCTAACTGCAGAGCTTTATAAAGGTAATACAAGTAACTCCATGTTAATTGAAAGGCAAGAATTAAACCATGGTAAAATTTTAATATAATCAATCAAATCAAATGATTTTGATTCCAGTTAAGTTATAAACTTATATAAAATCTAAATATCTTTATGTAGTAAAGTCCTGATTTTGATTAGAGTTGGTCTACTGGCCACATGGAAACGCAAAGGATTATATCAGCCAAAGAGACAGTAATTTCAATCACCTTTGACCCTATTTGTAGTTACAGTTTACTTAAAACAAACCATGTTCAATAAAATAAATCGCAAACACTGTGAAAGACAAGATTTAGGGCAAGACAAGTCTATCTTGGAACCTTCCCTTTGGCCGGGTGTGGTGGCTCACCCTGTAATCCTAGCTCTCTGGGAGGCTGAGGTGTGAGGATCGCTCAATGTCAGGAGTTCGAAACCAGTCTGAGCAAGAGTGAGACCCCATCTCTATTAAAGTTAGAAAGAAATTAATTGGCCAGCTAAAAATATATGGAAAAAATTAGCCGGGGATGGTGGTGCATGCCTGTAGTCCCAGCTACTCGGGAGGCTGAGGCAGGAGGATTGCTTGAGCCCAGGAGTTTGAGGTTGCTGTGAGCTAGGCTGATGCCAGGGCACTCTAGCCTGGGCAACAGAGTGAGACTCTTATCTCAAAAAAAAAAAAAAAGAAGAAGAAAGAAAGAAAAAAGAATACCTTTGTTACCAAGCATAATGAAGAACCTTCCAATAATTAAGATCACTGCTATGAATTACAGACCCCAACAACAGTGTCAAAAAACATCCCAAGCCCCGCACTGTGGTGCACCTAATAATCCCAGCTACTCAGAATACTCAGAAAGCTGAGGCTGGAGGATCGCTTGAGCCCAGGAATTCAAGACCAGCCTGGGCAGCATGGCAAGAACTGCCTCTCCAAAAAAAAGAAAGCCATCTCAGAACAGTGCATGAATGTGCGTCAACAACAGACTCGGGTCCCATGTCTGTCTTTACGGTGTGTCCGGAACGTACATGTTACACACACAGAACTCAGTGCCTCAGTGCCCTCCTCTCTTCTTAATTAGCTTCAAGAAAGATAAGGACAATTTCCAACAAAGGAAGGAAGGATAAATGACTCTGAACATCACAGGCTCAGCTTCAAGGTTGCAAGGGGGAGCCTACGGCTGAATGGTGATGACAATAAGAGGAAACAAGGGGACTGGAAGAGAGGTCTTCAGGGAGGGACAACAGAACTCACAGAGCCCTGACCCACAGAGGTCCTGGAGGGGGTGGAATTTCTCTGTGAGCCAGATTCATTCATTCCCTGCGAAGAAAAACCAATAGAGAGTAACAAACAAAGCAGGGGAAAGATACCCCGTGTAGACCTAACCAATGCAAGAAAGTGACAAGGGGCGTCAGTTTTAAAAAACAGAAAAAGAAATCTTCAACTGGTCCTTTTTTGTTGTTTGTTTAAATTTGGGAAACCCGCCAGGCAAGGTGGCCCACATCAGTAATCCTAGCTCTCTGGGAAGCGGAGGTGGGAGGATCGCTCAAGGTCAAGAGTTCGAAACCAGCCTGAGCAAGAACAAGACCCCGTCTCTACTAAAAATAGAAAGAAATTAATTGGCCAATTAAAAATATATAGAAAAAATTAGCCGGGCATGGTGGCGCATGCCTGTAGTCCCAGCTACTCAGGAGGCTGAGGCAGGAGGATCGCTTGAGCCCAGGAGTTTCAGGTTGCTGTGAGCCAGGCTGATGCAATGGCACTCTAGCCAGGGCAACAGAGTAAGACTCTGTCTTGGAAAAAAAAAAAAAAAATATATATATATATGTATACACACACACACATTAATTAATTAATTAATTTGGGAAACCTCAGTATCATCTTGCCAAAAACATATATCAGGAAAAAATGAGACTGCATTCTGAAACAGTATTTTTTTTTTTTGAGACAGAGTCTCGCTTTGTTGCCCAGGCTAGAGTGAGTGCCGTGGCGTCAGCCTAGCTCACAGCAACCTCAGACTCCTGGGCTCAAGCGATCCTCCTGCCTGATCCTCCTGCCTCAGCCTCCCGAGTAGCTGGGACTACAGGCGTGAGCCACTATGCCCGGCTAATTTTTTCTATATATATTAGTTGGCCAATTAATTTCTTTCTATTTATAGTAGAGACGGGGTCTTGCTCTTCTTGCTCAGGCTGGTTTCAAACTCCTGACCTCGAGCAATCCACCCGCCTTGGCCTCCCAGAGTGCTAGGATTACAGGCCTGAGCCACCGCGCCCAGCCCTGAAGCAGTATTTACTTCTATCAGCTTCCACTTAAGAGCATTTCATCCTGACAAAGCTAATGTCACAACAGAAGAAATATTTCCAAATATGGGCCTGCAGAGCTGCAGTCTTTGCTGGGGTCCAAGTGCAGGCCCTGGCAATCACTGAAAGGTACTTGAAGGTTCACATCACCCCCCATCAGACACACAGAGCAGCAACCTGCCTGGCACCGAACTTGACCAGCCTTTCCATGAAGAAGCAACTTTCCTAAATCTGAGCTCACAGCAACGTGAGTGCCGTGGCCCAGGCCAGTGAACAGGGTATCCTGGGACCACTGGTAATTCCCTGGAAATTCCATGTTGAGATAATGAGGCTGCACATCTGCATTCTATGCCTCAGCTCTTGCAATGATGTTCCAGAATCAACCAAGGCTCCACCACCATGTCCTGGCATCTTCCACAGCCTGGGCTGGTGGCTCAGGTCCGAAAACATGCTGAACTGAGTCTCCCCCACTCCCTGCCCCCTTCTTCTTCCCCCTCCTCCCATTTGAGCTAAAATAACATCAACATCATGTTCCAAATCAAAGTTCCAGCATCCTTATTTAAAAAAAAGCAAGCTTAGAAGTTAAAATGACCTAATTTGTTTGGCAGCTTACTCAGAGGCCAGAGGCTTAGAATTCAAGCCACATTCCTCTAACATCTTTAGCAGCAATGCCATATTTGGTAATCAATATCCTGCTGGGCTAAATTTCTATCCATAGGGATTAGCCAAACCAAAAACACTGAAATGTGAAAGGATGAGGAGGAGGAAGAGGAAGAGAAGTCAAGAGGAATACAGGAAAAAGAGAAAGTAGTAAGATGAGAAAGAGGAAGACTGGAAGGAGACATGAAACAAAATCCCTTGTGCTTTTAATTAAAGCATAATAAGTTTCTTCTCTGCCTACAGTAACTTCACGTTAAATGCTGTCAGCATAAGACAAGTGCTAAGTAGAAGGGGAATCTGTGCCTTTCAAAAATCAACCTTTTCCTCTCTCTTGCTTATAATCCACCAAAACTCTTCCCTCTTAATGACAGAACCTTTCAACCTTTCTCTTCCCAATGCAAACATTATAAGGACCAGAAGGGAAAATTTTTGCCTATCAGCATACTGATTTGAGGATACACAGTGACTTACAACCTAATGTGACTACAGGGACAGCCAGCAGCCTCAACCCACCCAGGTTCCATAAGATCAAGAACAGGCGTCCTCAAGCTGTGGCCCATAGAGAACATTTATCCGGCAAGCTGGATGTTTTTGCCACCGCTGCCTGTCCTGCTTAGCAGCCGACTTGTCCAGGGCCCACAGTGCGCATGTATGGAATGTGCCCGCACTCTCCAAAGGCCCTCCAATGGTCTGAGGGACAGTGAACTGCTCCCTCACCCCATTCAAAAAGTTTGAGGACCCCTGATCAAGAGGCTCAATTCCCTCCCTAAGGGCAAACTCTGGGAGATAAAAGACACTGTCAACAAATAACATATATTTTTTAGTCCAGTATACTTGAGAGTCCAGGGGAGTTTCCTGCAAAGCAGAAGGTGCCTGGTTGGGGGGCGGGGGGCGACACAGGGCAGGCATCACAGAGGAAGCGATGGAACAGGAGTTCACCAGGTGGCAGTCCAGGAAAGGGCTCAGCAAACTGCTGTGGGACAGGATGCAGAGAGGGTGTGGGTATGGGGGGTGGAGGGGGGTGGCTGGACAGGCAGGCTGGGCTGAGATCACAAAGGACCTTTTATGCCACGATGAGTGAGGACTCTCGAGTGTGTGTCCGGCTGAGCCATGAAGTTTTCAAGACGGGGGAATAATATGATTATCTGTAACAAATTCCCAGGTAATGTGGCTTGTGCAGGGACCACATCTGAGAATCATGGTGGCCCAGGGTCACCCTACAGGTGGCAAGGAAGAGCCTGGAACAGACCAGACAGGAAACGATCAGAGCAGCTGTGGGAAGAGACGTCAGGGTGACACCCAGGCTGCTCTGACGGTCCTTCTTTGGGAGGGGCACCCAGGGGCCACTGTCGCACAGAATTCTGCATTCTGCATCCTGCCTGTCCTTGCACACAGCTGCCTAGGGAAAGGGACAGAGGCTGCTCAAAGTGACCAAACATGTTTTCCTCTTCTGGGGATTTCACCTTTGAGTGGAGAGACACAGAAAATGGAAGTGGCTGGAGCTGAGTC